TCACGCAATAAACATCTTTTTTTTACTAGTTAATAATTTTTTCGACGCTTTTTTCCCAATGTTTTTTGGATACTCCCCAAAATTGAAGTCGGTTATCAAAAAAAACTCTTTCGGTCCATAAACCATTTTCGTATTGCCTACTCTAAAATTTAATCGTTTTATTCCATCTGGAGATAAAACAAGGTCCGGTCGGATCAGATGAAGGAACATTTTATGGAACAACAATGCGTCCCCTTGTAAACGAGGAACATCCATAAAAATAACCAAATACAATATCACTGAAAATGGCACGCCTGACATCATCTAAAACTTCAAATACCTCCCATATATTACCGCCCGACCCTTTTAAATTCACAATTGCTTTCATATTGATAAAACTAAAATCATGCTGCAAAAAAACACAAAAACAAATTAGAGAACTAAAAAATATTTTGTTTTAAAATATACGATTATGAACTGCAATAAGTACATAAACAATTAGTAATGCAAATACAAATTCTAATAATTTATATATTTACGATAAAAAACAGTAACATACACATATATAAAGAATTTTCCAAGTTATATAACAAATATATTTACGATAAAAAACAAAATCATACATAATTATATAAACATTTTATTAAACAAATTTTCAACATAAATGACAAATATATAAACAATTTTTAACTTTCTATTTATATAAACTAACATTTTATAACCATATAAACAAACAATTTTTCAAATAAAACGACAACCAAATTAACAATTTTGCAAGTTATACGACAAATATATAAAAATTTTCAACTTATATGACAAATACAAACAATTTCTAACAATATATATACAACAAATTTTCAACTTATACAAATGTTATACTTATACGACAAATATATATACAAACTATTTTGTACATACTGTAATTTAACTATTTTTCACTTTATATAAACAATTATACGATAAGAATATACAAGTTTTCAAGTTATACAACAACTAAACAAACAACAAAAATAACAAATTGTAAACATTATTCTAACAATTTATTTAAATTTAAACCACCAGATGCACACTGTACGCAGTCTCTACTTGTACATTCAAACAACCACTAACAAAATAGCATTTAAAGTTCAAGTATACTAAAGAAATATTAAAACTATCAAACACAACAAAATTACCCTTTCAAAAACTTTATAATTTCTATTTTTTACACTAAAATAGATGGAAAAATCTAAAAATTACACTGACATATTACACTGACATATATATATATATATATATATATATATATATATATATATATATATATATATATATATATATATATATATATATATATATATATATATATATATATATATATAGGTTCAGGTTCATTTCAGACCATTCTAATTTTTTGAGACCGTGAGTCCAAATCTAAAAATAATTTTAAAATGCAAAATAAATGGAAAAATCCAAAAATTCTTTTTTTAAATATTATTTTCGGAACTTGAATTAACTAAAAAAATATAAAAAAAATAAAAAAAATAAAAAAAATTCCGTTTTTTTTTTAAAAAAAATACGTGAAATATTCTAAATAAAATATTACACTGACATATTCTAAAAAATAATTTTAAAATGCAAAATAAATGGAAAAATCTAAAAATTCTTTTTTTAAATATTATTTTCGGAACTTGAATTAACTAAAAAAAATAAAAAAAATAAAAAAAAAAATCTATTTTTTTTGAAAAAATAGTGAAATATTCTAAATAGAATATTACACTGTACATATTCTAAAAATAATTTTAAAATGCAAAATAAATAGAAAAATCAAAAAATTCTTTTTTTAAATATTATTATCGGAACATGAATTAACTAAAAAAAATTTAAAAAAATAAAAAAAAATAAAAAAAATAAAAAAATGCGTCTCACTGTCTCACAAAATATAGGTGGTCTCAAATGAACCTGACCCTATATATATATATATATATATATATATATATATATATATATATATATATATATATATATATATATATATATATATATATATATATATATATATATATATAGTCAGGTTCATTTAAGATCATTCTAATTTGAGACCGTGAGACCAAATATAAAATAATTTTAAAATGCAAAATAAATGTAAAAATACAAAAATTCTTTTTTAAATATTATTTTTGAAACTTGAATTAACTAAAAAAATAAAAATAAATCCCGTTTTTTTTAAAATACGTGAAATATTCTAAATAGAATATTACACTAACATATTGTAAAAAAAAATATTTTAAATGCAAAATAAATGGAAAACTCTAAAAAAAAAATTTAAATATTATTTTCGGAATTTGAATTAACTAAAAGAAATAAAAAATAAAAATAAAAAAAATCCTTTTTTTTTAAAATACGTGAAATATTCTAAATAGAATATTACACTGTACATATTGTAAAAATAATTTTAAAATGAAAAATAAATGGAAAAATCAAAAAATTCATTTTTTAATTATTATTTTCCGAACTTGAATTAACTAAAAAAAATTAAAAAAAATATTAAGAAAAATAAAAAAATGTGTCTCACGGTCTCACAAAATTAGGTTGTCTCACATAAACTTAACCCTATATATATATATATATATATATATATATATATATATATATATATATATATATATATATATATATTTGAGACCATTCGAATTTTGTGAGACCGTGTGACCAAATCTAAAAAATTTTAAAATGCAAAATAAATGGAAAAATCTAAAATTCTTTTTTTTTTTAAATATTATTTTTGAAACTTGAACTAACTAAAAGATAAAAAAAAATAAAAATAAAATAAAAAAAATCCCGTTTTTTTTTAAAAATACGTGAAATATTCTAATATAATATTACACTGACATTCTAAAAAGTAATTTTAAAATGCAAAATAAATGAAAAAATATAAAAATTCATTTTTTAAATATTATTTTCGGAAGTTGAATTAACTAAAAAAATAAAAAAAAAATAAAAGAAAATCCTGTTTTTTTGAAAAATACGTGAAATATTATAATAGAATATTACACTGTACATATTATAAAAAATAATTTTAAAATGAATAACAAATGGAAAAATCCAAAAATTCTTTTTTAAATATTTTTTTCGGAACATGAATTAATTAAAAAAATGCATCTCACGGTCTTACAAAATTAGACCGTCTCACATGAACCTAACTCTCTCTCTCTCTCTCTCTCTCTCTCTATATATATATATATATATATATATATATATATATATATATATATATATATATATATATATATATATATATATATATATATATATATATATATATATATATATATGTTGTCATGATACTTTTAAGGTGTATGTTATTTATAATTAAAGTTCTTCTTTTATATTTGGTTATGATGGTTACATTTTTTAAATATCAAGGTGCTAGATTTTATAAAGCTTTAACATTTGACAATTTTATTGTTGCCATGTTGGTTCTAGGTAACTTATACATTATATATACCCGTGAATAAAATGTTCAAGTGTGAATGATGTTGACCAATCAAATTTCTTATTATCACAGTTTAATGTGTTGAAATTAGTTACAGATTTGGTAATATGACATGAATATTTATCTGTGAATGATGTTTCATCAATCAACTATCCCGTGTTCACAGTTGAATGATTTACATTCGAAAATTAAATTGTTGGTAATGTGAATGAATTATTAAACTATAAATGTTTTTTCATGAAATAACAAATTTAGGAATGGTTCTCATGTTTACAACTAAATTGGTTGAATTAGTAAAAAAGTCAGTGATATAATGGAAGGTTCAATTGAAGTTGAATCAGATGAACTTTCAAGACAATTGATATATGAACGAACTATTAAACAGGGAATGGTGTGAAAATTTCAACAAATATAATACTCTACAAGGTTCTTAATGGTATTAATTTAACATTCATAGTCTAGTGAATACCATTTTTTAATGAATTTTCATATTTATTTGTATTTATGCAAAATTACCAACAGTACATGTTACACAAACTTCGAATTTACTATTGTTAACATATTTTAATGCTAGGATTTTTTTTTTGAAAGCATCGTTATTAAGTTTGTCTAAAGTTATATGAAGATTTACTCAAATACAAGGTTTCTTGAATCGAAAACATCATTTATAGTCTTAAAAACGTTTATTAAGCAATGAATGGTTACTTTTAAACTTTCATTAAGTGATGTTTTTTTTTTAAAGATAATAACAAATGATTTATCATTTAATTACATAATAAATGTATATATAGGTGCATTAAATTATGAATTTTAAATTTTAATTGTATCTAATGATCTATTAAACTTGATTGTTGAATTTTCATTTATATCTATTGACTTATTAAAGTGTGGATGTTGAATATTAATTGTATTTTTTGGTTTATTAAATTGTGAATGTATTACATGTTCGATGCTAGTTTATTACATTGTGAAAAGATCAGACTCTACAAATAGGGGAAAAAACTCAGATGTGCTTGATTGTAATGAGGCAGGTTTTAAACAAAAGGTACATACACATGAAATAAAACCTAGGGAGATCCAAGGGAAACTAAAAACTTGAATCATTACATCTATAAGTATTCTATAACTTTTTTTTTTTTTTTTTTTTTTTTTAATGTTTTCATGATACTTTTAATGTGAATTTTATATATGGGAAAATGACTTATGAAGGTAAGTAACTATTTCGATTGTCCACATATAGGTAATATTCTTTTTTTTGTTCTTATTAATGGAACAAACTTGTTAGTTTTGTTCATATTAAGGTAATATAACCGGCTATTACCTGTTTTTGCTTATGTGGCAGCCATCTGGCACATGAGTTGAATACGTTGCACCTATACGTTCTATACGTTCAATTACGTGGATTCTTACGTGGCCATTACTCCCCTCTCTCATTTAATTAGGGCTCTATACGTTCAATTTCAACATAATCACCGATTGTAGATTCGATCCACCTAGATTCGATTCACCAAATTCATCATAATCACGTGTTGAAGTCGACTGTAAGATGGCGTCCCAATCACCTACAGGTATGTATTTAACTATAGATGTTCATTACAGTGGAGTATTTGCCCGAAATCCGTTGAAATACTTAGACCTCGAAAAGATAACAGTGCGTGATGTCGATTTTGGAGGGTTTTCCTACAAAGAGTTTCTTTTGTGGCTTAGGAATTTAACAAATGGACGTTGTGATAATGTGTACTACTGTAGTAGAAAGGAAACCTTAGGTGAGGGTATTATAAGAATCGACAGTGATGCTGATTATTGGGAGTTTGTTGAAGCTACTTATACTCCTGAAGCTGAGTTGGATGTCTACATTGACCAACAAAATGATCCAATCCTTGATTGGGCTGAAAATGAGGTGTTATCAGATGGTAATGGGTATGATAGTGAAGAAGAGGATGAGAATGTAGAAGAGGATGATAGTGAAGAAGATGATAACTTGGATGGTATTATGGCATATGAGCATGAAGAGGATGAAGAAGTCCATACCTTTAACAAAACTGTTGGTGACGATTTTTTAAACAAACTTTCAGGTAAGCTTAGTGATGATGATGAACCTAATGATGGAAAAGATGAGAAGGTTGTATTCCCTGTCCATGATGAGAACCAAGCATGGGATAAGATGATGCCAATTCTAGGTATGAAGTTTGCAACCCCAATGCAATTGAAGCTATGTCTAACCAATTATGCAGTGAAGAATGGGTATGACTTGTGGTATGAAAAAAGTGATCATAACAGGTTACTGGTGAAGTGTTGTAAAGGTAAGAAGAACAAGAATAATAAAGGTTGTCCCTTTAGGTTGTGGGCAACCTGGATGAGCAATGAAAGGTCATTCCAGATTAAATCTTTAATTGATAACCACAATTGCTCAAGAGTCTTCAAGTTTGGGTCCATTGTTACCTATAAATGGATAGGTAATCATTTCATGAATCAGATTCTCCAGAAACCAAAAATGAGTGTGAGGAAATTGAAGGCTAAAGTTAGCAAGACATTTAATTTGATTGCAAGTGTGGACAGTGCAGAAATGCAAGGAGGTATGCATTTAAGGAGATAGAGGGTACTTTAAAGGAACACTATGCTAAAACTTGGAGCTATGGAGAAGAGCTAAGGAGGACTAACCCTGGATCAACAGTGAAGATGGATGTAGATGCCATGCCTGATGGAGCCACTTACTTCTCAAAGTTCTATGTATGTTTAAAAGGTGTGAAGGATGGATGGATTAAAGGTTGTAGAAGGGTAATTGGACTAGATGGCTGCTTCTTAAAAGGTGTTTGCAGAGGTCAGTTGCTTGCTGCAGTAGGCAGGGATGCAAACAACCATATCTACCCTCTTGCTTGGGCTGTGGTTGCAGTTGAGAGTAAGGAAACATGGAAGTGGTTTGTTGACCTTCTCCTTGATGACATTGGAATGGGAAATGGACATGGGTTGACATTAATATCAGACCAGCATAAAGTAATGATTTTATATGGTCTCTTTATTTAATACTTAATTTATATGAAGTTTATGTTTTGTTTGTAATGCTGACAGGGATTACTTGAGGCTGTCAAGGAAAGGGTACCTGCAGCAGAGCATAGACAATGTGCAAGACACATATGTGCTAATTTCATGAAAAAATTCAAGGGTCAACAGTTCAGTACACTTTTTTGGAGAGCTGCTGCTTCTACTACCCAGGCTAAATTTGAGCAACACATGAATGAAATCAAGAAGATAGAACCACTAGCATATGATCATCTAATGGAGAAGGACCCTAAAACTTGGAGTAAAGCATTCTTTCAAACTGATAGGGCATGTGATGCATATGAAAATGGTGTTTCTGAGAGTTTTAACTCAATCATTGCAGCTGCCAGGAAGAGACCTCTAATCACTATGTTAGAGGAAATTAGAATTTATGTGATGGAGAGACTGTGTATACAAAAAAGTAAGGGAAGTTCTTGGGGAGACTTAAACATATGTCCTACCATCAGACTGAAATTGTCCAAGATTCAGACACTTCAAAGGTTAGTGATTGAATATTCAATTGTGTATACTTACAACAATTTGAAGTGAGACTTTTAAGTGTATGTTTGACATTCAATTGTGTATACTTACATTTAAGTGTATGTGGACAGATTTTGGAGAGTTGTACCATCTGGTTATCAACAATTTGAAGTGAGACTTTTACAAGATGCATATGCTGTAGACCTTGGTAAGAAAACATGTGGATGTAGAGGGTGGCAATTAACTGGTTACCCTTGTGTACATGCATATGCTGCAATTTCAAACCTCAATAGGGATCCAGAGGACTATGTATCACCATGGTTGACCACAAGAATGTTTTGTAATGCCTACTTGTACACCATTAAGCCACTAAATGGTAGTGATATGTGGCCTGATGTGGATTACATCAAGCCATTGCCTCCCAAAATGAGAAGAATGCCAGGAAGACCATCAACAAAAAGGAAAAGGGATCAGATTGAGAATGAACTAAAGGGCAATAAGCATACAGTCTCAAAAAGGGGAATTGTTATGAGATGCAGCATATGCAGAGAATCAGGGCATAATAAAGCAAAATGTCCTCAAAAACCAATTGGGGAATCCTCAAATCCAAAGTCAAAGTTAAAAAATAAAAAAGCCAACAAAAAAGGTATTTCTCCTCATTTACCTTTTGATTACAATAAAACAGCTTCTAATTCTAACATTTGAGTTATTTCATAACAGGTAAAGTGAAGGTTGAATTGCATCAAGAAGTTGATTTGGAAAGTGATAGTGATAGTAAAGTTCAAAGGGAGCCTGATAGTGAGGTGGAGTCTTATGAAGTTGATTTGGAAAGTGATAGTGACAGTGAAGTTCAAAGGGAGCCTGATAGTGAGGTGGAGTCTTATGAAGTTGATTATGAAGAGGGTAATCATACATATGAAGATGTAGACCAACTTGAGGTTGAAGCTGAAGAACAGGTTGAAGTTGGAGGGGTTGAAGAACAGGTTGAACTTGAAGAACATGTTGAAGCACTTGTTGAAGTTGAAGTTGAAGAAGGTGAATACCAGGCTGGAGATGTAGATCAAGTTGAACAGGTTGAAGTTGAAGTAATTCAAGATCCAGTTGGACAAGATGACCAAGGACAGGCTGCAGTCCAAGATCCAGTGGAAGAGGAGCATATGATGGAAGTACCAGCATTTCAGGTTCTACAGGGAAAGAGAAGAAGGAAACCTTCAGAAAGAATCACAAAAATCCAAATAAGAAAGAAGTGGGAGGGAAAAGAGGGGAGTAGTTGTGATAAACCAATGGAATTGGATTAGAATTTGATAATTTGTTGTTTTTTTGGCATCATTGACTGGGAATCTTTTGTCTAGTAATATGTGTACCTTTTGGCAGTAATGCATCTGTAACTGTGTTTAATTCCACTGTTTTGTAAACAATGTTTCCTGGAATCCAATGTTACATTCCCATGTTAGATTATATTATATTACATTCCAATGTTTCAATGTATACCATTCCAGTGTTTAATTACTTTTCATTCATTCCAGTGTTTAATTACTTTTCATTCTAAACATGTAACAAAAACTTCAGAAGCAAAAACATGTAACAAAAACATCCATTCATAACATACATAAAGTACATCATTTTAATACCAGTCATGTTTTAATCATAAACTACATCATTAACCCTAATACATCATGAACTACAATGAAATCCACATTTTCACATACAATACAAATAACAAAATCAGTGCCAATTTGTGAGTAAACAACTCCCACTTGACTTTGTCCAATTCCTGTCTATTAACAAAATTGGTGTTCTTTTCTTCTTCGATCTTCATTCTACATATGCTGATTTCATTCTCCAAAGTGCAAATTTTCAAGGTTAAATTACAGCTTTCTTCTGGTTTCCTCCAGTAAGGCTTTCTTCCATCTATCCTCCCTTCATCCTCATCCAGCCATTGCCAGAATTTACAGCTTGGACTTTTTCCATTCTTGAAGAAAAATTAAAAAAATGTTAGGTTAAAGGATGAAAAAGAAGAAAGGGTATTCAACAAGATGGAGAAGAAGAAAGTTGGAACGTATTCAGCTTACCATCGAGTTTTGACAAACTCTAAATTTTCTTCCAGGATTGTCAGGGGTTCTTGAAGTCTTCACACGAGATGGTAAGTTGCAATCACATGGATGATCAGCTTGAAAATCATCTGGTCGTTTTGAAGAATAAGATGAGGAAGAAGAAGCCATCGTAGATCTAGGGTTCAAAATCGGGTGTAATTGAATGACTTCTAATACTGTAAACGAAGATGATATAAGCACAAAGCCATGTAGGTGCAACGTATTCAACTCATGTGCCAGATGGCTGCCACATAAGCAAAAACAGGTAATAGCCGGTTATATTACCTTAATATGAACAAAACTAACAAGTTTGTTCCATTAATAAGAACAAAAAAAAGAATATTACCTATATGTGGACAATCGAAATAGTTACTTACCTTCATAAGTCATTTTCCCTTTTATATATAGTTAAAGTTCTTTTATATATTTGGTTATAATGGTTACATTGTTTTAATATTAAGGTAATCAGATTGTATAAAACTTGATTATTTGTGACAATTTAATTGTTGTAAATGATGTTGATGAATCTAATTTCTTATTATCACAATTGAATCAAAATTCTTATTATCACAATTGAAATTAACTATAGATTTGGTAATATGATCTGAATACAAAAGATTCACAATTTAATATATACATTCACAGTTTAATATAACAAAAACTTAAAGTTTAATACAATAGATTTACATTTTAATACAAAAACATTAATGAAATTAATGAACATTCACAAATATTTATACAACATGCAATGACTTATACAAAAAAATACAAACAAAAAAAACATAGATTCACAACCATAGATAATTTATAAGATTTACACTTGAATTTACAACACACAACCATCTATACAAGATTCACAATTTAAGCCCCTTACATATTTGATTGATCCAATTGATCAAACATCATATGTGCATCCCCATAATGCTTCATTTCTTGAGTAGATGTGACATCTTTTAAAACATCCATCCAACAACCAATTCAATAAATATTCAAAGAAAAATGTCGAGTGAGTTTTACAAAAAAATATTCACAGTGTTCACGGTTTAAAATACTACTCCAAACTAGAAGTAAAGTGAGCATCGAATGGGTTAAAGCAGTTTTCTGGTTAAATGGTTTGGGTTATTCAGTTTGATGTTGGTCACAAAACCGACCGCAAACCGAACTATTCAACTTCAGGTTAATCGGGTTTCGAGTTATGCGGGTTTGGTAAAAGTATTGTTTTTGGTCAATCTTTATTATTGTTTTTGGTCAATCTTTATTATGTATCACAGAGCAGTGATACTAATTTATCACGAAATTATTACATTTTTGGTGGACTTCTTTAAATAGAAAAAAAAACATTTAAAATTCAATATTTATAATTATTTTTGTTTGTAGATTGTAGAATCCAAATAACAAAATCAAAAACAGTCCAAGTTGTTACTTTAAACATGCCACTAGGCTATTTGATTTTTTTTTTTTGGAAAGGGAACTTCCCTAACGAGGGTTTCCGGGCCAGCTTTCGCGCACCGACTAATCCCCCGCTGCAAACATAAAGCTTTGCTTCATGCCCTGGAGTCACTGCAGGCGAACCTCCATGGCCACAAGGGCTGAGTGGTGCTAGGATTTGATTTTAAGTCTAAAACAACGGTTTTATACGATTTTTGGTTCCATACTTCCATTGCCATTATATGACCTAATCAATAAATAATTATCTAATATGGCATAATATATATTTATTAATTACAATAATTTTAAAATCTTATTCTGTTTTCGGGTGAGCCCCAAATAACGTTTGCCAAACCGCTAACTTGAGTCGCAAACCAATTAAAGTCTCCGGTCAATCCGCTAACCAATTAACCGGACCTAAAAACCGAATAAGGTTCAGTTCGGGTTTGTGACATCCCCAAAATCACAGCCAGAAAAGATCGGTTTTGTTTATACTTTATTTCAAAATCAGAGTAATCTTTTAATAAAAGAGTTGCGGAATTTGTCCCAAAACAATATTATGATAAAGATTTATCAAAAGCATTTCCATAGAAATGTATTTCATTAAAAAGACTCGGGATGTCATGTTCGATACAGTACATAAGTATAAACAGTACAGCATAGGCCTTACTACATTATTCCGTATTTACAGGCTTAAAATCTATTAATCTCTTATCCCAAGACATCACATCTATGCTCATGCGCTACTACCTGTAATACAAGAAACTGAGTGGGTCAGACTTGGGAGCTTGGTGAGCACATAGGGTTTTCAACCCACAATAAATAAGTTTATTAACTTTATCAAACTAAATAAACCCGATTACCCATTCCCGTTATCCTCACTTTACGTCCCTAAGACATCTAGCACAAGGGACCTAGTCTAAGGACTATCATTGGGATGGACACTACTGCTAAGGGGATTCCTCAGCCGTAAATGTCCTTAAGGCAACCATGTGGGGGATGGAGTACATCTAGTGAGCACACGGTTCAAATAAACACACAGTTCGAATAAACACCTACATGTTGTGAGCCTGCTAGTGTTCCACTAGACTGTCTAGAATAGTCCGTGGTCGTCATCTATACTCCGCTAGATGACTGGATCATCATTAACATCTATAACGAGGCCTCTCATTATTTTATTTTGTCACACAACAACTATTACATCTACCCATATTTTACCCAACACATTTTGTAGATATAAAATACGTATACAGTTTAAATCATTGAAAACATGTATAAAACGTTCATCCAGCATAGATAGCAAGTATTCATATAATATGCACACATAGCAGGTAATTTATATAAAGTAATTCATATCTATGTGTAAGTTGAAAGTAACTATGTAATCACCTGAGAAGGTGGTAACTCGGTTTTCGGACACCGCTTCGTTTACTTTAAAATAATTTCCTTCGACGAAACCTACTATTATCGCCACTAGATTTTAGTCTATTATTACCGTGACTAATTATTAGTCCTATTATTATTATTATTATTATTATTATTATTATTATTATTACTATATAAGCGTTTAAATAATACTTTCCAACCACTATGTACAGACAGGGGTCAGACATAAAACAGCGGAGGGCAGGACCATTTTGGTGTATAGCACTTCTGAAATCCAACAACCATATGTGGCCCTTTAAACTAGATTCCCCGTACCACGAGTAGTTAAAATGATATTATAACGACACTTATATAAGTCATAATAATAGCTCAAATATTTATTATAAATTTATAATAACAATACTAATTTTAAATATAAACTATATTTAAAATAGGGTAAGCATAACTTACTTACAAAGGGATTTTAGCTAGGAGTCGGGCTCTGCAGGGGCATAACTTCGTCGCTAAATCTTTCTAAGAAAGATTTGTGCAGCGCTTTAGCACTCACCTTACTATACTAAAACTACAGAAAGAGAAGTCGAATCACGAGGGACCGAAATGCTCGGGGGATAAGGAGATAAAGACTCTTGAATCAAGAGAATGGTGCAAGAAATATGAGAGCCCAAGCCTCTTATTTATAGTAATTGAATTTACAAAAACTACCCTCCATAAGTACTTAACGACCTTATAGTTATATAAACAACTAAACACCCCTTTACAATACTATTTTAAATAGATTTAATGATATTTGCACTAAACTAATGTCGAAAGAACTCAACATTAGTCTTATAATGACCGCATCGTCGATATGTTTCTAATGATATATACATATGTATATGTGTACGTATATATGATTTATACTTTATTTTAATACGTAATTATGCTATTATAATTTGTAACTCGTTCATACGAACTCCGTTTTTGACGTTATTTATATCCACGCGTAGGTGGAGACGTACTTTACAACTTTCGTTTAGACTATGTCGGCTAATTTTGACTTTATTTTTAAAGTTATATTTTTAACAGACCAGGACAAGATTGGTCCGTTAATATCTCATAACTTCTTTATCCGATGTCCATTTTCGTCTGCCTTTTTATCGTTATGCTACTAATAACGAGATCTTCGATTCTCGTTTAGGTTGTTTCGGCTAAAAACCGCTCAATCCAATACTCGAACTTCGGGTTGTACACCGCTAAGCCGAAACTTCGAAAAATCATAACTTCCTCATAAAAGTCAGATTTGGGCGTTCTTTTTATGGACGCTCTCAGGTTAACATATTCTACGACTCTCATTTATATTACTAAGGCTAAAAGAAGTTCTATCATAAATTCACTATTTACGTCTCCCGGTGCCGTGCCGGTTTTGCCGTAAAACTTCGACGGGCCATAACTTCTTCGTTATAACTCGGATTTCGACGCTCTTTATATGTACCGAAACCTTGTAACATATACTAAAACTTGGTTGAGATTATTTATTCTTAATAATCTTTTTTCGAAAACCCGTTTTCGACCCTTATTGTCTCTAAATTGACTAGCCCGGATTTACGGACGTTACAATTATCTCCCCCTTAGGATGATTACGTCCCGAAATCATCAACGAAACAAGATTGTATAATGACTCCATACGTTATCTCTTCATCCTAGGTAATAACTGTAACTTCTATGTTGCTTCAAACGAGTATCTAACTCTTGGACTCCTTGACTGCAGGCGGTGCTCGGTCTTGCACCTGCTCGTTAGACTTTCAATCATGACCTTCGTGTTACAACATCATTCTTTATCAGAGACTCCTTCTTTTTCTTAACAAAGTTAGGATACTTTAATTTGATTACTACAATTGACCAATGTATCATATTCTAATGACTTATCATCGTATGTAGCAATGCTTAGACTTAGGTCTCGTAGAGTCAAATTCTGGAATGGAATATGCCTTCCTTCATCGTCTAATGTGATATAATAACATTTTAACATGTAGCATTTCTAGCTACCAACTTCTTTAACAACGAGTGTGATACTTCTATTGATCGCTTTGATTTCAATCGTTTGGTTTAAGTCGGACGCTACATCAAACTTGGTTCTCTGAACCACGTAACCTACTCATCGTAGTTGGACTCAATGTGATATGACCACTAGGGTCGGGATAACAACAATCTTCTTAGTAATTACCGAACCAATGGTAATGACATACTTGAATAAAACAAAATCAATTACTAGTTTCTTGGTAACCTTGTGACTTTCCCTGATCCAAGTGTGAGTCCTGTGCTTCCGGTAGTATAGG